AGTCCTCCTTTCTCTCCAGTACATAGCCAGGACTGGCTAGATGCAACCACATCTCTTTGTTTGTATTAACCTCTCAATGAGCCCCAGAGGCCTTATTCTGGAGTAGTTTGAAAGGATATAGAGTTCACTTGGGCACAACTCAGGCAAAAGTATCTCAATTATTTCAGTTAGCACCTGTCAGTCGTAGCAGAGGAGAGAGAGAGAGCAGCTTGTTCTTTTAAGTCCTTCCTCTAGTTCAATTCCCTTTTTTGCTGTGGCTGAGGCTAAATATGACAGAAAAAGGCAAAAATCAACGTTTAGAAGGGATTTTCCCTTCTTTTTAGTCATTAGACAGTATCCTAAGAAAATCTTTCAGCTCTTGTCATGCCTTACTTTGCCTTCTTATTGGCAGTCCTCTATTTAACTCCCTTTCCAGAAGGGACTATTATAGTGAGCACATGTCAATATGATTAACCTGTTCCAGAGAAGACATCCTTCCTTCAAGAAGGAACAGGGTCAGTAAAGACACAACGCCTTCCAGATAAATGATCACGTCCTTTATGTGTACAGTGCTTTGAAAAGAGTGAGACAGAGACTGGAGATCCAACAACGCGGTAGGATTTTTCTTTAAATCCTGACGGATTATGTGAAATGTGGTCGGTAAATCTGAATCTTCTGTTCCGTGCAGCTCTGCCCCCTCCTGCTGGGCAAGTGTGCTTATACTTTTGCCTTAAAACCAGCATCAACCACACTCCAGGAGATCCTAACAGTCAGTGAAACAAACAGGGCTTCGTCAGTGCTATTTGCAGATGCACTTGCTCAAAGTTAGATGCATCCTTCTAGATAATCTAGATAATCTAGACAATCTTACCTGGGACTTAACTGTTCCAGGATTAGGCACCTTCGTGTCTCCCAGGACTTTACTGCTGTCTAACAAGCTGACCAAACCGAGCAGCCGCCTAAGCAGAACACTGAATTTGAATTCTCAGGAGTCACAGGGGCACGGAGAATCTGAACACACATGCTGTGGTTTGGACTTGGTCATTAGAGCACTCAGAGTTTTATTAAGCTTTATTATATTTATTATATTATGTTTTATTAAGCTGTTGACCGAGTGCTTTCGTTGAAGAAGAAAGGTCAAATTCAGCCGTGCAATTTTCAGAAAGGCTGAAATCCTGGAAGCCCCTCATGATTTCCTCAACATTCACTCGAAACTCAGGATCAGTGGGAACCAGGATGACCAGCTTTTCTAAACACAATTAGAGGGGAAGATACCTCTAAGGCTAGATGGCCCTTTGAGTAGACTGGTCTGAGCTTTGTCTGGCCGTAAAAAAAAACACTTGCAGAGGTCGTGCAAGGAGGCTGGAGCCCTGGCAAAGTGCTTGGAAATGGTTAAAGGCAAATAAAAGCAACAGACATGCAACACTGAGTAGAGACGGGAAGGCTGAGATGTGGGTCGTCTTAGTACTCAACCCTGTTGCCCCCCTACCCAAGGGGACAACAGGTCTGTCTGTACCTGCTGCTCCTACGCTGGTTTAGGCAGAAATTACAAACAAAACTTTGAAAGCAATGCCAAGGCCTTCTTCGATTATGGCAGAACTATTTCCTACACCATAGTTCCTCCTACTTTATTTAATGCATTTCAGGCATTAGATTTTCATCTGACATACCTCTTCAGGCACAGCTTACGTATGTATGTGGAGTTAGCAGCCCTCGTTAAAAAAGCCGGTAGAACAAACTCCAGTCACTAGAAAAATAATCCTTACATGTTGCAGTAGAGGCACCAAAAAAAAAAAAAAAAAAGAGAAGCTGGGCAAAGTCAGAAAACCAGCAAGAGATGAGAGAGTTACTGATTCCTCCAAAAACCATAGCAGTCCGGGGAGGAAAAAAGCCTTCCTGGCCACTGGGCGTCAGCCTGAGTCCCACGTTGTTCAAGTGGAATGCAAATACACAGGGCTCCTGCCCAGGGCCCTGGGTCAGCCTGCACGGCAGGAGATGGTGTTGCTGTGCTGATCCCAGCAGCGCTGTGCCAAATCGCCGCACTGGAAGGCAGGGCCAGGGAATTTAAGGACACGTCTGCACTGACGGCAGGGAAGCAATTCCCGTACGGTCGTGGTTTGCTTGTGATGATGACATTGGTGAGTGCTGGCAATTTGTTATACCTCCATTATCCATGCAGGCCGCTCAAACAGCTTCCTGAAGAGCCATGGAGACCAGGGAAGGTGATCTTGGCAGAAGCCATTCCCCACCAGACAGGCCAAACTTGTATGAGCCAAAGGGAACCAGCCTCAAAGACACCCAGGTGAGTACGCAGAGACCCCAGCCCACGCTCTCCTGTGCTGTCTCCTGGGTTGAAACCACCGGGATAAAAGTGTTCTGAGGCACAGGGACATCATCATCATCATCATCATCATCATCATCATCACCATCACCACCACGGGCAAGGAGCAGCAGCTGTGCCTGTGGGCAGGCGAGGACAGGTCAGGTGACCCAAATGGAACAGTCACAGCATTCCTTCCAGTATATAAGGGCCCCTAAGGAAAGCTCTGGGGCTGGTGGTGGTTGTTGCTGCCTGTTTGTCATTGTTCCCCGTGCTGCTGGTGTTCCTGCCTCCTGTTTTCACACTACCGAGGAGCAGTGCATCTTGGAACAGGTTGTCTTACCCTACCTCCCTGAGTGGGTGTGGCACAGCCCCTTTTCTGTGAATTTGGGACTCTAGGTTCAGGTGCTCCTGTGTGCTGCCTGGGTCCCTTGAAGGCTGTTTTTTCTGCTTGGGAACTTGAGGGTCCCATATTGACATATTCTCTTGTATCTTTGAGCATATTTGTGTGTGTATATATATATATATGCATATAATTTGAGATTTTTATTGTTGCTAGTTTGTTGTGTGTTTTTTTTCATTAAAGTGGTTCAAGTTTTTTTTTCAACCTCAGAGGTTCTCTCCCTGGTCCCCTGTTATCCTCCCCTGGGAGGGTGATGGAGGGATCACAGAGGGCATCTGTCAAAGTTTAGTGGCCAGATCAACCTTTAAGGTCAACAACCAGCAACACCCCTGTTACCATGAATGGATGGAACTGGCTTCTTCCAAGCTGTGAGTTTGCGAAAAAGTCTCATACAACACAGTCTCTCCAAGAACTATTATGTCTTTCACACAGAAGCTATAGTCTTGATAATATTTTTGTTTCTGGCAGAAATTCCAACACCCCCTCCTGTGTCTCACATGAACTGCCAGCTATGGAGCTGCTTTTCTCAGGGTGTTGATGCTGCTATTGCTAGACCATAAACAAAAAGACATATTCTTGAGAGGGGCACATGAAGAGGACTAGCCCTAAAGAAAGTCAGAGTTACAGCACAAAGTGTGGTGCTACACATTGTCAGCAGCTCCGTCCATCTCAGGCTCCTCTAAGCTTCATCCGATGCCTCATTCCTTGGCTTTTCCCCAAGCTTTCCTGGGCCTTCCCTCAGCCTGAATTCACAGCTACACGGGGAATCTGATCTCCTCCTCCATTCCCCCTCCTTTCCCTCTGCTAGCTTCAGGCCAAAGTTATTTTCCTGAGGTACTGTTTTTTTTTTCTGAGAGGATTTAAACAAGAGCACTCAGATATGCAAACCAGGAGGGGGCAGCTCTGCCTCTTTTTCACAACTCCCCGCAAAGGAGCACCTGCCCTCACGTTTTGCCCTCCCAGGGCTGGTGCAGGTGCTAACCCTCACTCGGGTGGCATCCCAGCTACCTCAGCAAAAGGCTCTCACGCTTTTCTGACACTATGCTTCATTTCTGTTTGTTGTAGGAAGCCCGATACCCCCCAACTTTCTAGGCAATGACAAGCTGTGGCACTACCCTCCTTTCAGACTCAGGGATGGCCTGAGAGACACACACATGCATTCCCACCTCCCCTTGAGTTTAGGTATGGAAGCCCAAACTGTCCATCTACAAACCCCCTGGTTCTGCTCCTGACCAGCCCTAGAGAAGCTTTGACTGCTAAAGGATCTCCTTTTTCTTCAGGTCTGCTCAGGACTGGACAGAAGGACCATGTCTATGTCTCTGCATTTGTCCGTGTTAGAGGTGATGGAGCTGCTGTGTTTGCATAGCCAGGTGTGGGAGGAGAACACTCCCAAAGCTGTAATCATCAGTGCAGCCTGACTCATCTGTGATCCAGATGTGTAATCCCAAGTGTAGCTGAATTTGTGTTTTCCGGCCAGTTTTCTTGGGAGAGGGAGAGCTTAGGCTCTAGTGGCTGACAGTGCTAAGGATGGGAGGAGGAGGAAGCCTGTTTCACAGGCACGTGTGTTGCTCGATGTGAGGACTAAGAAAATACAAGAGATGAAACCAAGCATGGCTTGTCACATCGCCTTCTGTGAAGCTGCGCCAGGTTTTAAAGGTCTTTAAACTCAGAAGCTGCCTAGATGGGAAACAAAGATGTGTCTGCCCAGTGCTGTGTGCCCGCTGTGCGCAAAACGCTCCTGTGCTCATACCTACAGCTGCCGGGGTCCGGGTTCAGTGCGCTCGCTGCACGAAGGATACGCTTCCAAGCAGAGACTCCAGCAAGCTTGAGTTTTCGCCACAAGGTGGCATTCTTTGAGCTTTTTTTGCGAAACAAAAATAAGACTTACCATCCTTAATAATAACAATAATAATTAGGGGGGGAAAAACCTCAAACCCTCCTTGTATTTTCTGAAGTCCGTGACAAAGGAAGATCTGTTAGGAGGCTGCTCCTTCTCTTGCAAAACCGTGGTGCTGCTTTCAGAGAGCTGCAACTGAGACTGAGGGTCAAGTCCCTTTAAAAAAAAAAAGTGAAATACAGTATTGTGCATCTTGAAATCTGAAACCGAGAAACAGAAGTGCAAGGCAAACAAGGGGGAAAGTCTTGCAATTCCTGAGGACAACTGTTGCAAGTGGAGTTTTAAGGAATAAAAGATACGAATATAAATTTAAAAGGGATTGAATGGCTTTTGTGGAGAAACCTGTGAAATAAAGCAGCCTTGGAAGAAGAGATTTCGTTTTCTCCTCCTCTCTGGATATAATGGCCATTGCAAAGCAAAGCATCTTGAGATTTGGCTTCAAATGTTTCTTCCTAGCAACTTTAATGCTAGCCTGTGATGGACAAGGTGGAAAGAGAGAGAATGGTGGTCCTGCCTGTTACGGAGGATTTGATTTGTATTTCATTCTAGACAAGTAAGTCAGTTCTGCTCTGTTCTTTTTCAGATAAATCTTTCTCTAGACATGAACTAGAATAGCATATACTGATACCGAGGATTTTTCTTTAATTCTGGTCTTGTAGAAGTTGCCGTGTCCCCAGGAGACCTGCAAAAGCCCTCACTGCTATGGCTTTGTTTTTGTTGTGGTAACTTCTTTGGTAGGTCTAGTACGTGATTCCATTGTGCTCTGTAAATTAAATCGTTATAAATTTTGCTGCAGTTGATGTAGAAGCTTCACTGTGTACTTGACCGTGTAGTCTCTTAAAAGAGTGGTTGGGAGAAGGGCAGCACCCTGGTCAACCTCTGGTTTCCCTGTGAACCGTGAAGGCTGAGGCACTCGTGAACGCAGGGGTTGGAGAGCTGTGACTGCGGGCATTAATTCTGTAGCTGAACGGGGAGGAAATGCTCGCCTGCCTGGAGGTCAGCTTCTGTCCCCTTGCTCCTTGGCGCTGAGCGTTCTAGAGCAGCAACTTGCAGGTAAAGACAGAGCTCTGAGAGGTGGCTACTCCCTTCGAAAGAGTCTGATTTTGGCCATTGTGATGGCAAACAGCTAGAATGCCTTCTTTAAAGAGAGCTCTATTTTCTCTCTGCTGAGTCACATTTTCTTTGTTTCCTGTTAATCAAATGCATATTTTGACTGCTTAACTGTTTATACTGAAGATATCTTTGTACCTCCCTTTTTTCAGCACTGGTTGTGGTAGTGTCATCTTCTTGGCTCTGATAAGTTTGCCTCTTTAAAGGCCTTCAGACTAAAGAAGGAGCAGTGTAAAATAGATGTTTGGAAAGCTTCATATTGAAGCAATACAGCAATTTACAAAGTCAAAAAAAAAGTACTAGCTAAACTGATTCTCCTAATTTTCTTGAACCAAAGGTTTGGAAATACTGGAGAATATGCACGCCAGAGCCATGGTACTGACATTATTAACCATAAATTTCAGAGATGGGAAAGTATTTGCAAGTTGCCAAAAGTGCTGGCGGATGAAGCTTTCTGACTGATCCTCTTGAGTGTTTTGCAGTAGCTCCCACATTCTGTTAGCATAAATGACTTGGAATTACATAACCCGTTATTACAAAATACTGGGTAAAATGTGAGACCAAGACACTGGATATTTTAGTATGCCAGTTGTCCTAATGGGCCAGGGGAAAAGTTTCAGTTTTGGTGTGCTTGGTTTTTTTCTTTATTTTATTCAGTGTAAAGGTCTTCATGTCTAATGCATTTTGTTGCTTTGGCTGTTTAGTTTGCAGTTGGAATTCTTTTATTGCTACATGTGAAAAAAAACCAGAGCATGATTTGTACCGCAGACAGCTTTTGCAAACTGCATTTCCCTGAAAGCTGAAGCAGAATTGAAGGCTTACTCAAATCTGATGGATGTGCTGTATTATACCTCAGAGCTAGTGTAATCTTAACAGCCACTTCTTTCAAGTTCTGTGCTGTCCTGTTACTAAAAGGCATGACTTTCTAGGCTCGCTCAAGGGATTATGAATTTGGGTGGAAATATGAAGCTTGGCACAAACTTTAAAGTAGGCAGGCTTACCTCAGTGTATGTATCAAGGTATGCAACAAAAAACTCTGGCTTTGACCATCGCACGATTCCTATTTCTGAGATTTTTCCGGTGCAGAACAGGATCTGATCTAAAAATGCCTTTGGTTTCCAGTGGAATTTGGAGGAGAGTTATGGTGTTAAGCTACTAATATGTACAATATGCCATAGACCTGCTCGTTTAGTCTTTGAGGCTGATGAGAGACTTAGTGTGGTGGAGTAGTTCATCCCATATCCTGTATCTTTAAAACTTTCTTTTATTCCTCAGATGCTAAGCTGAAGTTCTAAGTAGCTTAAATCTCATTTAGCCTTGGTCTTCTACCTTCTGTTTGTTTAGAGAAAGCTTTCAAAAATGCTACTGAAGTCCTGAATGCGGAGAGAGGTGATGCCTGTTGAGGCCTTCAGACAAATGATGAAATGATAATAGATGCAGGACTCACTGCTTTTCTTTAAAATAGCTCTAAAAATGGTTAAAAATCATTAAAAGTGATAAAGGCCTGAAGCAGAGAATATTTAGAACCTGAAACATGAAACATTAATTTCAATGGTGGAAGAAAGCCATTGAAATATTAAGCAACCTACTTTCTTGGATCAATAATGAACACAGCCCTGGAAGTCCCCAGTGCTAAAGCCCTTTACTGACCGTTTGCCTCGATGCCGGGTTGGATTTAGTGGCTGCTTAAGTCCCTCGAGTACCCTGTGTGTGTGCAGCGCGTAGGACATGTCCGGCTACTTCACCAGACGCAGTCCTTGTCACAGCACTGGCTCCTGACGCGTACTTCTGGCCACAAGAAGCCCCTTCAGAGTGAACACGTAACCCACTGGGGAGGGGGCTTCTGTTACCGACTGTTCTCATGAAGTGGTGCCCTGGCTCCCTCTCTCCTCAGGGCCCTCCTGCCAGCTTGCTGGGTGAACTGTTGAAGGGAAACCAGGTTTCCTCTAGCTGTCTGCAGGCAGCTGGAGACGTGTCTCCCGGTAGATGGCAAGCTCAGAGGACCTGAAGCAAATCTCCCATTTCTCATGGTCGTGAAGGAGAAGAAAATCCAGTATTCAGCCGTTCAGAAATAACCCTGTTATGCTACACAGCCTCGAGGCGCCTGTAACAGACCGAAGGCTTGAATGGCACCAGATATGCTTGCTGGGCTGCAATAGCTTCCTTCATCTCTGCCTGCACTTGCATGTCTGCTATCACTTCCAAGAGTTCTCACAGCCCAGGTAGCAATAGAGGAGGCCTCTCCTGCTGTGAGTGTTGGACCTCAGCTAGCAGAGCAGCGTTCCGTGAGTGATGCAAAGGCACCCCAGAGGACTCTGGTTCGAACTGGGCGAGCTGCTTGCCAAGTAAAGCTGGAGTTGTCACGCTGTTGTTGGTGCAGTGCTCCAACTTTGGAGGAAACTATGGTTTGCCAACTCTCTTGAGAATCGTTGCTTGACACGCAGCGAACTTGAAAAGACAAAAAACAGCGTTACACACAAACACCTAACTTGAAATTCTCAGCTGCCTGGCAGCAGGTTCACTGAAGGAATCGTATTAACGTGATTAACCAATTTCTCTTCTGCTTTGACCGAAGAAAGAAGGAAAGGTGGAGAGGGCTCCAGCTCGAGCTGTTTGCTAGTTCTAGGTGTATGTTATTTGCTATGTAGGTTAGATGCAGGATCTAGTGATACAAGGTGCTGAGCATCTCAAAGTGGAGGTCATACCAAGATGAGCCCAGTGCCACGGAAGGTAAGACCAGCATATCTTGGGAGAATTGTTGAGAGAGCTGGTCCATTTGTGTGTGACTGTGGTGCCGAGGGGTTGGAGGCTCTCCCAGATAGGATGGTAGCAAAATGTATGGCAGAAAATGGTTCCAAAGAATTTACAGCCTGGATGTGAGCTAAGATACACGGCCTTCATTAGGAAGGAAGAATGAGGAAGCAGTGAGATGTTGATAAAAAAGTAGACATTTTTAGACATGGTTTTGTTGATATCGTACCATTATTCTAAAAATATCATCCATGTGACCAGTTGATGAAGACCATGACCCACCCACTAACTGACGTGGTATCTTGTGCTGTGCTATGTAAACACCCATCACGAGCACAGCTGGAACTTTTAGAGGCAGCTCCCAGATTCATTTATTTTCAGGTAGGGAACAATGAGCAAGTCTTCTCAGTGATCCTTTGCTGTCTCCTCTGTATGTCAAAGGTTTTATTTCCTATGCTCTTGCCTGTTGTATGCAAATAGTAGGAATTTTATACCCGTGTGCAGAAAACATGCTAGGAACTGTACATGTGTAGAAAAAAACCTTGGCTCTAAAAGGTCCTTGGCAAAATGAAGCAAGTAATCCAAGCTGTTTCCTGGGATCCCTTCGTTATTCAGCCAGACAGCTGATCTATTTTTGACTAGTTGTATTGAAGTGAAACTCCTGCTCTAGAGATGCTAATAGTTGTTTCTCTGAATCTAACTTTAGTAGCTGTAGTTACCATGATTTAAATGGAACTAAATCCCAATTTGCGGTCAGAGTGTAGAGGAATGTAGGGGCCACAGTGGGGTGGAAAGCAGACAGACACGCTGCGTCCCTGGGCAGGGACACTGACCCACAGGAGCCCTCTGGTAGTAGTGACTCTCCCCCTGAGAAGTGTGAGCCCTCCACCATGGGACCCTTGCAGAGGTGAATAATATTCTAGCTGATCTTATCTGAAGAAATACAGGCCTTTAGGAGGTACTGGTACAGCTGGATATCTGCAGAAAGAGATTCAAAATCATCTCTGATCTTCATTAACCTAGGCAATGATTCCTTGGTTGTTTTTTTGGAATCGCCCACCTGAATCCAAAGCAATGTATGCCTTTTGTTTGGATGGCAAGGGGCTGAAAGCATATGGAGGCATAGTTTTTCTTTGTTTTAGTGTGAGAGTTGAGGGATGCTAGTAAGGTAGCGTGGAGAAATTTGCATTTCTTGTGTCTTTTTCCTTGCCTGAAGAAATGTAATCACCTCCGATGTCTTCTCCAGCATGCAGCTGCAATGAGCTGAGTTACTATGGTGAATCCTTGCCCATCAAGACCTGTGTATGTGTTTTTTAGCCAGTGGTGAATCTAAGGTTAACTACTCCTTAGTAAAAATGATGGGTGGGAGCTACCTTACATCCAGGATTAAGTGTGCACCTGCAGCGCTCTGCGCTTTATCTACTTCTTGAGGCAAATGCAGCCCATGGTTATTTTCTTGTGTATCCTCTGTCCATCAGGAAGAGGATGTTCTTGGACTGTGACTGGACTTAGAGGCTTATCCTGCTCTGAACTGAATTTCTATAGACGCTGTAAACTCACGTGTTTGACAGTCTGTCTCATGAGCTGTCTCGTGTGAAGTGTGGCACAAGATAGTAGCGTTTCCTCAAGGAATTGCATCACCTCTCAAACATCTTTGTGTTGTTTAGTGCTTTCAAAATTGCTCCTGAGCTATTTGGAAAGACAAAGGACACCTCTTGGCTCGTTTGTGTTATTTTTAAAGAGTTCAGTAAAAAGATGCTGCAAAACTTCCTGGGTCAATGCCACCTCTGACAGCTATGAGACTTCTTGAAGTTAGTCCAAAACTGTGGAAGATGAAGGAGAATTTGGATCAAGGTCAGTTTTTGAATCAGGTGTCTTTATGCGCTTCTATCAGCTGTGGCGCACGTAACTGGAGGGAAGTCTTTGTAGAGGAGTTTGTGGGCTTGATTCTGTTTCCTTCTAGTTTGTGAATTAAATAAAACCATTGGTACTTTGAGAAGATGCAAAGGCAGAAATGGAAATAAGGAGTCTAAAAAGTTCAAGAAAGACAAACTGGAAGGAGCTTGGAGGCACCGCAGCTTTGGGTTATGGTGCATCTTGTCACACTGAGGGGGAGAAAAGCAGCTGCGGGAGGGCTGCGGGGTTTAGCCAGAGTGTGGCTCTCCAGGTCTGGAACCACAGAGCCATGTGGAGTGTCTCCCTCACTCTTGCATTCACTTTAGATGTACAAAATGCCAACACAGTTAACCGCAGAATGTATCATTCTCTTGTAAAGGCATAATGGTTTACTTAGTCTTAATTTCCATTTATTGGGCTTTTCTCCAGGAAGAGAATTTGGCATCGTTCATGATAAGCCTTTTCTTAAATTGCAAGTTTATAGCATCAACCATTCAGCTGCAGAGCCCTGGCTCACTGATCATCTTTTCTCTCTTTGGGAATATGAAGAGATAACGATTTTAAATTTGGCTTTTACTGCCTTACAGTTAGACTTTAGAAATACTTGACCTAGTCAGAGTTCTTGGCCTGCCTTATGAGAGGCTTTACAAGTGACAAGTGTCTTTTGCTGTGGGGCTTCCAAATAGCACAGCTGAAAGCGTTGGAGGTGAACACTGTGAGCTGCTGCTGGTTTTGTAAACTTTCTATGGACTGCACAAAGGTTAGTTTTATTGGTTGTGTCCATTTTATGCCAAGTGAAGGCTATAAAAAGTCTGAAGTGTGTTTCAGAAGATGTATTTTATGTATTGGAGTACTTTTTTCTAGATGCATTTATAGCCACTGAGACTTGGGCTTGACTAGATGGAGGAATTAACTGCAAGTAGACTGCAAGCTGCCGAGCTACAGAGGGAAAACTTGCTGTGCTAGAAGGAGCGATGTGTGGTCAGCAAAAGTGTGAGCTTCCTTTTGGGACCGTTTTATAGCGTGCTCTGGTAGAGATGAAGAAGAAATGGTTTGTAGACTGTTCCAGTTGCCCCAAGTCAGTGCCTTTGGGACTGAAAGCAGGAATCATCCTTCTTCTGCGGGAGAGAGTGGGCTTGTTGCTATGATTGTGATGGTAAGAAATTTCCTTAAAACAGATGTTTACCATCGTGCTGCGCTTGAACCTCAGGTTGTTCCTTTTGTGTGTTAATAGATGTGTGAGGAAGTTTTGCAGAAAAAGAGCTGTAACTTCAGATGTTTGGACTTTCGTTCATGGGACTGTTAATGCGAGAACAGAATAAGGATGACGAAGGGGAGGAGGTGCAGCAGGAGCTGAAGGCATACTTGTATGAAGAACTAAAACCACCGCTTACCTGAAATAAAAACCCACCCCAAATTCAAAACTAGCAGAACAACAGTTGCAAAGACAAACACTTTAACAGGATGCGCTATTGACTTATTGGCGGCACGTCACTGAATTGAGCTGTTGGCTTTTAAGCTCTATTCTGGCAAATGCTGTTCGCAAAAAACGCAGGATTTCTCAGAGCCATGGAAAATGACAGCAGTTTTATATGATGACCTACATACCTGAGGTGCTCTGTGGCTGAATCTCATTCCCAGCTGCATTACTGCAATAGTAATTTTATGTGATGTTCAACATTTGCTCAGAGGGGACGAAATAACTGTGCTTTTAAAGACTAATGTAGCTTGTAGGGCAGGAGGGGCTAGCTAGAGCTTCTGTGTTGGCAGAGGCCAAGCGCTAAGTTTTCCCGTAACATGAAGCGTGGTTTGGTCATCGTATCTGATGGCCAGGAGAAGGTTGGTTAGGGTGTACTTGTGATAGGGTCCTAACTTCGTGCGTCTGCTGCCAGGTGGTTCAGAAGACGTGTGGAACTTTGACAGGTGTACTTTTTTTGAGAGGTGGATATATAGTCTGAAGCAATGTACATTTTGCTGAAGGAGGGAGTGATTGTACAAAACTTCATGTGTCTCCTGGAGACAGATGTAACCAGTGCTGCAAAGTCAAGTGTTTCTTTTACGCCTCACCATACAACGACAATAAATACTTATTTTCCAGGCCAGTTCTCGGAAATGATTTGGGCTGTTTGGTATTAATGGGACTGGGGTGCCTTTTGTATTCGAGGTCTCGGAGTTATTCCAGTTGCACCTGGGGCACTGTGTGTCTCTGTTCTCTCAGTTTGCAGTTTGGATGCAGTGGGGGTTAAGTTTCTTATTTGAGAGCAAGTCCTGATGTGCCTCACCCTTCACCTCTTGTAAGACATCAATTTTCCCACTGTCTGTGTGGTTTAATTGGTTTGTCAAGACTCTTGCTATTGGTGCTTCTTTGGTCTTCCCTGATACACATTTGCATGGAGAACAAGTAATGGTTTCAAGTCCTCAGCTGAGAGGAACGAGAGCCAAAAGGTAATCTAGCACTGTTAGTATTTGCTTATGATCAAGTCTCCTCTGCAGTCTGTTCCTTACAGTCACGGACGAAACGAGGGTCCTGTAAGGTTATCTTTATTCAAGTTTTTTTTCCAACCTCAAAGTCTCTCTCCCTGGTTCCCCTGTTATCCTCCACTAGGAGGGTGGTGGGGGGATCACAGAGAGGGTCTGTCAGAGTTCAGTGGCCAGCCCAGCCCTAAACTTTGACTCGTGTGTATTTGGTATCAAGTCCTTTGTGCAACAGGAACAGGAGAGTTCACTGCTTTTCCAGCTGGACCATACACTTGTGAACCTGTGCAGGGGTCCTCACCGCATGTCATCTCGGGTGGTGTTTGACATATCACGGTCATTTAGAGAAAGAACAGCTTAAAGGAGGTTGTAGAGAGACGGGGATCAGTTTGTTTGACCATGGAACAAGCGATAGCACAAGAAGAAATGGGCACAAATCGCTCCAGGGGAGGTTTAGATTGGATATTAGGCAGAATTTCTTTACTGAAAGGGTTCTTGGGCATTGGAACAGGTTGCTCGGGGCAGGGGTGGAGTCCCCATCCCTGGAGGGATTTAAGAGACACGGTGCCTGGGGATATGGCTTAGTCGAGGACTTGTAGTGTTAGGTTAGTGATTGGACTCGATGATCTTAAAGTCCTTTCCTATCTAGGCAATTACCTCATTCTGTGAAGATATCATGGAGCAAGTGTGTATGGCCAAGGTTTTTACTGAATGACCGTAAATGAAAAGCAGGTGTGGGGAGAATAGGGAAGGAAATTCGTACGACCTTCGCAATGTGGTTTGCGCGCTTGCTGTGCTGCTGGGAAGTGAAGTCATGCTCTTTGCAGCCAGGCTGGGGTTGGCTGGTGCAGGTGTGCAGTTCTTGGGTGAATCTATTAATGGATTTTCACTTCCATTCTCAGATCTAAGATAGAACAGAGTCAAGGCAGATGCCTTTTCTTTCTGGGAAGTAAAAAACCATCTTCTCAAATGTTCATCTTTGCTTCCTCAGGCTGCAGATCAATGAAGTTGCTATTAAAGCTGGAATAGTTATTTTCCCTATAAATATTTTTAATTGTAGTCAATTAATTAAGTGATGACACTTTTATTTTCCAACTCTAGGAAGGATTTTTCTTCCCCAATATTAATATCCCAGTGTTCATAAAAGTGTTTATGCCAGTAGAGGATAAAGGATTTAGTGCTGAAAGATTCTGATTAACCTATTTTTTTCCTGGTTCTCAGAACATAAAGAAGAAATATGCAATTCCATTATAGTCTATGGCTTGTTTTCCTGATGAGAGAAATTAGTTTGATTTGCCTTTAACGGAGGTGTGAAAGAATTAACCAGAACAGCTGAGATATAAACCTAAGGTGTTTTACTCTTCATAGTCTCTAGCACAATGGAAATGCTAGAAAAGTGTAACGCTCTGTTCTTCCAACTGCGTTTTGTCCTCAAAATACACTTGAGCTAAAAGTTCCATGTAATGGTATGGCAAGTGAATTGGAATTAATCTAAAATACTGTGCAGAGAGACAGGTCTTCACTCGGGGTTTATTTGTTTAAGGCTTTAAAGGAAGAATATGGACAGTGAGCGTTAACCAAAATCAGAAGAAATGGCTAGCTGAGCAATGTGTAACAAAAGCATCAGGCTGGGAAAACTACAACAGCAGCAGGTAAACTAATATCTCCTGTAATAATTATTTCCCTAGATCAGGAAGCGTCCTGCACCACTGGAATGAAATATATCATTTTGTGGAACATTTGGCCCGCAAGTTCATAAGGTAAGAAGCGCTGCTTTGCAGATAACCCGCCGAGGAGGTGCGTGTGTGCCCCCGGCTGTGAGAGGTGCGCTCTGCTGCAGTCGGGTCGCAGTGCTGGTGCCAATGCCCTGGTGCAGGGAGAGTTCTTAATGCTTTTCTCAGATCATCCCACTGAGCACTTTCCCTCAGATTTCTGTCATGCAGGAAAGAGCAGAAGGGAGCTTACTGCTCCCTTTTTCCTTGCCTGACTTCCACGGATCAAGTGGTGTTTTTGTGGGGAAGGGGTGTTCCTGTTTGAGATCCCTCCCAGTGGGGGATGTTATGAAAAATATCATTAGCCTTCCTTTGTCTCCATGGTGATACCAGGACTTATTTAAGCCTTTCTTGCTTTAGCAATCCTAAGGTCATGATGCAAGTGCTGTTTACATCTTTGGGAAGGCTTCCTCATGGTTTGCTTTCACTAGGAAGGCCTGGAGCAGAACACCTTTTGCTGCTCAGTCCTGCTGTCTTTCACCTGTTGAGTTATAATCTAGACAGCAATCGGAGCACCCGGGGTGTTTGGTGTTACCCACACAGTAAGCTCTGGTCTGGACCACTAAAACAATTTACCTTTTTTTCCTCCCCTTCTCCAGCCCTCAGCTGAGGATGTCCTTCATCGTTTTTTCAACTAGAGGGACAATTCTGATGAGATTAACAGAAGACAGGTAAGAAGAGATTTAAAGGTGCACAGCAGCTTTTGTATCCTTGTTGTAGCTTCCTTCTCCTCCTTTGCTTAATGATTTCCAGCCCACTGTGATCAGTGTTGTGACACCCTTGTGTTTCTCAGTTGAATTGTTTGAATCACCTGCCCATTTTTACATATGACACTCAGAATGCATTAAGGCCTCTTAAGGCAGAGGTTGCCTTCTGAATTTTAACTTAGAAATGCCTTTCTGTCAGCAATTAGGATTTTAACTCAAACTGCTTCCACTGGGGAAGTTTGCCTTCCACAGATTTTGTCACAGAACAAGATTCTCGTTGCCTTTGAAACATCCGGAGGGGTTTTCTCCTGCAAACAAATCGGTGGAATTCCCTTCCCATAAAAACAAAGTGAAAGCTGTAGATGGTACCAGTGCTCTTGAGGTAGAGGTGAACATGATTTCTTAGGAGGTCTGAAGGTGTGTTGTAGGCAAACACTGTTTAGGACGAATTGCAAGGGTGTGTATTTTTTTGGCAATGACATTTTGATTGCCCTGTTCCTGAAGCACGTTCCTGCCATATCCCTACAGATCCCACAGTTAATCCCAGTAAAACCTATGGGATGGATTTTTTTTGGCTTTTTTCGCTCTGATTTCAAGGAGAGCTGGATGAGGTCCTTTAATCGCTCTTGCTTCCTCTGTTAACTTCATTGCCACGTGGAGCAAGAATATATGTAACATATGTGAAGCCCGTATAAGTCAGCATGTGTTTTGTGTATTGGATGTCTACGAAATTGCATACCAGAGCAGCTGCTAGAGAGGAATGAGGAGGAAACGGGCCACTTGCCTGAAGAGCAGTCCACATACATACCAACCCTGAAAAATGTCTTTAAACCTAGCCAGCCTAGCTTCTCTTGCCTCAACAGCAAATATAAAGAGAATTAACCCTATCTAACTTGGTGCCAGAGGACAACCTGATCCCTGCCTCTTTCTGTCTCCCACCCTGTGAATACACCACATTGCAAGGATCTCTGGTCTGTTAAAGCTCTAAGCTGTGGGACTTCAGTGTTTCCCATGTGGAAAAGTATTCCGTATTTATCCAGCTGTCCTAGAAATGTTGACTGGGAACAGGATATTGATATGGTATTAGTGTGAGCCAGCTGACTGGAGAGCTGCTGGGTTTTATTGGAGGATTGACAAACAAGGTGCAGGCTTCGTGCTGGCCCTTTAGTAACACCGGATTTTTGTCCTGGAGTGGTGGCAAAATCTTTTCAACCTTGCCCATGCTTCCATGTGGTGTATCAGCAGCTGAACATGAAGACTGAGTGTGCTTAGCATCCCTTTTGGAAAACCCCTGGGCATCTGATGGGACTGGGTGTGTATTTTAAAGACCTATTTTAAAATGTCAGTGTTCACATTTGAAAAACAATTCTTGTCATAAGAAATGCTCTTGATTTATGTTTAGCTTTGGCTTGGTACATGCCTGGGTAGCTGACAGCTCAGTGTCTAACTAGTTTGGGATGTTGCAGGTATGGAAAGAGTTCTTCTTTTTTTGATAATTCAACCTATTGCAAAAGTAGATACTCTTTTCTCCCTGTGGGAATTAGTGCTCTGCAGACTTGAGAATGTTAATGCACCACTGCAGTCAGCCTCACGAAAGTGAGACAGAGTATGTGACGATCACACAAATCTGCTCTATTTTCCACTTCCTTAGAAAAGTATCTACCTAGACACTACCTTAGCCTATATAAACATTGGGTTAGTCCTTTTTTCCCCCCCTCTCTGTATCTGGTTCTGCCATAGGTGTCTTCATGCTCCTGATAAATTTGATCTTGGATCTAACAATGTGTCTGCATTCATTCCAGGGAACAGATACGCCAGGGTCTAGAAGAGCTACAGAAAGTCCTGCCGGGAGGCGACACGTACATGCATGAAGGATTTGAAAGGGTAACTAGATGCATGCTATGGTCCCTCTAAACTTTGTCTGGGTGCTCCTCAGGAAATGTTAAACAAGGGAATCTGACTAATAGTTCTCTGGTAGGTAGGAGGGGCTATTTCCTTATGCGAGAGGTGCACTGAAGTGTACACATGTGTTGGAACTGGTCAAAGGGAGCTGCAGACCCGACTACTTCCCTTTCTTTTTGCCTTCAGCTTTTATGGGGGGAGCTGCCTTTTCAGCTTAGCACAAAGCAGAAGCCTTTGGCATTGCAGTCCCGCATGAAGCCACATTTATGAGGGGTGGAAAGCTGTCTAGAGTCCTGCATGGGTGCTACAGTAGTCTTAGAGCTGGGTGGGGGCTGAGGCTGTAGCCTCACTATGGACAAATAATGCTGTGCAGAAGTTAGTGCCCGCTTTGATCTTCTCCTTCTGTATATTTTTACAAGGAGTTTCTCTAAATCTGAGCTCTTGAACCCCCTCCCACTTCTATACAACACATTCGTTTTGGAGGATTGTGGAACTGTCTGCCCATGGAAAATGCATGTGAACATGCAGCAAATTTCAGGTGACCTGACAGAGATGCTTGCTCCTAACTAGGAGCCTCGAACCAAATCCCAGAGTTTGGTGACTTCAGAAACTTGGCAGGAGAAGTCCAAAACCCCAAATTTAAATTCAGAAGAGAAATGAGATTCATAAGCCATATATATTCAGGGAAGCCTACTTTTTAATTCGGAATTGATGCACATGGAAGCATTCTCCCTTCTACCTTGCAGGATGTGGTTGTGCATAGATCAAGTGAGAGGCCGAAGCCTAAGAATCTCTCTGCAGTTGGTTTATTTGCAATTAGAGCAGTTGATCTAGATGTTCTGGGGAATATTTATCAATGGACCTAGGATGTTTCTCGAGGAGGATGGTGAATGTGATTTTTCAGATAGCAGAAGAGTGGGAGGCTGCCTTATTATTGGCCAATGGCCCTAGAACTGGTTTGACTGGGTTTTACTTTAGATAAGACCTTGAAGTAGCGCAGTTGAAACCATAGGCAAGAAACTGGTTCTCTGATGCAGGTGTCTCTGAAAGCAGAGGTTATGTGCAGACTACAGACATGACATCCTCGCTGCCATCTTCTCTTTCTTTCTGGTGCGTGTGTAGATGCCCACAAAGTATTATTATTCATTTATTGCTAATAATCTTCTGATTTCATTTCAGGCAAGTGAACAGATTTACTACGAAAATGTTCACGGTGAGAAACTTTCTTGATCCACTGGATGTTGTTTTCTTTCCTCTATTTTTTTTTTTTTGGACTGATAACATCAGTTGATTTGAAATGTAGCTTCACTGTGGGAAAGGTGGGGGGTGGCTAAAATTCTTACAAGAATGCAGTGCTATTCAGGGAAGTTGCTCCTGGAAAGGAAAAAGAACAGGTGGATCCAGCATCTGCAACACGAATGACTCTGCATCTTGCTTATTGTTTGGCAAGCACTCCACTTTCTTGTTGCCACATTATTTAAAATCGGGGATTTCTAAGAGGCGTCAAGAAAAGTAGGTATTGGATCTCTGTTCTGCAGTAATTGAAGAAGTTGCTTGTCTGAATTTTTGTCTCTTCAGCAACAGCTTGTTAAAGGCAGAGCTATGCGCCGTGGCCCTAGGTGGTAGAAGAGATGTAAAGGTTGATCGTTTACACGCCTTGACATATTCAGCCTTTATCTTTACATAACAGTGTTTATGCCAGATGTCCCTACAGAGCTTCTTTGGAGCTGTAGCAAGTCTATTTTCAGAAATATGAACTAATTCTATTTGGCCACTCTGAAAACCAATGCAAACTTGTAAAACCCAAGCTATAATCAATACAAGGGAAGACTGCAAGGCTTAACTATGTTGCTGAAATGTGTTACATGGGAAGGTTGAAGATTTTAGGCCATTTTCCTACCATATATCTTCAAGTCCAAATGGAGCTTGTTATCACAAGCCGAAAAAAAATCTGGATGTCTTGAATTGACAGCATTAATAAAATCAGGAGAAAAAATAGGAATATTTTGCTGCCTTTTTTTTTTTATGGCTACAGTCTAATCTACTGGTCTGAAATACTGAAATAGTTATGAGGAGCTGCTAATTAAAAATCATAGGCTCATCAAAGTGTGGTTTAAAACTGGTACTGAAAGCAGGTGCCTGAGTGCAAAAAGTGTGCTACAGATGTGTCTTCTGAAAACTCATTGGTCAAAGGGGTGGGCCTGAGGTCCCCTGTCTCTGGTCATTCCAGTGTGCTAACAGGCCCCTAGCGGGAGGTTTTCTGGGCTAGTTTAACAAATACAACTCAAAACCAAGGGACTAAAGGAGTTTTTGTATTTAGGTTACAGAACTGCAAGTGTCATCATTGCATTGACCGATGGAGAGCTCCATGAAGACCTGTTTTTCTACTCTGAGAGGGAGGTAAGTGTCTTAGACGTTTTTAGCCAGGGAGACAGGGAAATGTCTGGGCTTGCTGCTTGGAAGGCAAAAGGTCAGGAAAACCTTTTTCTCTAGTGACAAAACTTCCCTGAGGGCAGTTTAAATTTTTTAAATACAGATGGAATGAAACGTCTCTTCACCTATGGATATCATGAGTCCAGGCACATGTCTGAAATAGAAAATAGCAAAACATTGTATGTTACTATTATGCTGAGGTGTGTCCTAAATGATGAAAACAAAATGGATTTAGTCTGTCTTAAATCTGTTGGACAGACGAATGTTAAGAAGTTGGAGCAGCTAGGAAGGTGAGCTATTCAGGTTTAAAAAAACCCCACTGAATACCTTGGGGTTTGCTTTACTAAACAAATAGCTATTCTAGTAGCAGGTAAAACCTGTCTCCACAGAATTGTTTTTAAAGCTCCCTTTCTGCCAAGCCCCCTCTTGCTCATTTCACAATGATTAAGACCTTTCAGATCCCATCACATTTGTGTTCATGTCATCCTACCTTTCCTTGTTCCAGGCTAATCGGTCGCGTGACCTGGGAGCAACAGTATATTGTGTTGGTGTGAAAGACTTCAACGAGACGCAGGTAAACGAGACGCTGGTGATTACTGAGGTACCTGGTGAAGGTGCATGTCGGGCACAGGCACACACCCCCGAGTCACTCGCTCAGGATTCCTTAAGTCATCTTCCTCTCCTGCCGTGGCCTGTCTCCACGTGTAGAGCACTATCCCTCTGTCTGCGTGCCACAGGGACTCTTGCTAGTGGTGGATAAAATCAGACACATGAAGAAAAACAAATGAGTCTGGCTTAACCTATAGGCAGAAGCACGTTGTGGGGAACTTTTTTTTCACCCGTACAATTGAGGTGTTGCCATGTAACACTACAGTTCCAGACCAGCTGTTATTTCATGGGAAAACTACGCTGTAAAAAGCAACCAGCTTCGTTAGTGACACTAATATTTTATGGTGTTTTCCTGTTTGATTGTCTGACTGCTAAATTTATCCTGTGAATGTTAGTATGTCCATGAATTACATTTCCACCAAGTGTAATGGTTGACATTATATTTTTCTAACGTGAATGAAACATTTGCACAGCCCTTAAGTGCTGAAAGAGTTACTGAATAGAGCTTTTCCAGGTTTTCAGCTTTCTAACAAAGCTTCAAACACTGCTTCAAAAAGGAGTCAAAACAAAATTTGTGTAGAACAGTCTGCTTTGCATCAAAACCAGGGACCAGTGAAACCCAGAGTAGGTCATAGAAGAAGCAAAGAGGGAATAAAAATGGCAAAAAGAGCAGACCTAAAGTAGCAGGTCTCAAAGACAGCTGCTATTTGAAGCTATTTAGATAGTGAAGAAATTAATTGCAATTGGATGACTGTGTCTGAAGTCCCAGATTGCACTGGGAGGAGGACTATGATGGAACTGTAAACATCCTGGTCCACAGAAGCTGCTGTATCTTGGCCAACAAGCACTAAGCAGCTTTACTGCCCTTCTCAGAGCAGGCAGAGGAGAGTTGCCTGGAATATTTCGCTGGATGCAAACCAGGAGGCTGGCAGTTTGGTGTTTTGCTTGAGAAGTGGGAGTTGTGAGTGACATGAGCTGGAAAGGTGGAGCCAGCGGGGTTTAGGAGGAATGTGTGGCTAGTCTGCTGCCTCCAAAACGCAATGCTACAGGAAACGCCAGAGAGGCCTGCTGGGTTGCTGCTGCTCCTGCCACGGGAGAGAATTACTATAACAAACGTTGGCCTTGCAGCAGTAAAACTTGATTCTGCTCCAGCAGATGGATGGAGAGCTCATTACTTCTGAACGGGGCTTTATTTTTGCCTTAACCCTGAGCATGCTACTGACCAGTGAGCCTGCATGTCGCTCTTCACAGGTGATGTCCTGGTTCCTCTTATCTTACCACCACCTCATGAATGGCCCTTTTACCTGTCACAGCAGCTTCCAAGTGCTCTTCTGCTCCCTTTTTCTCCTCACTTTGAAAATAGCTCCTGTTATAGCTCTCTGCTTTCCTCTTGGCTCCCTAGTGATTGAACCTAGGATAAATTGTCATATCTGTCCTGATAGAAAAGTTGAATCAGACTGATATCTCTTAAGTTCCTGGTGTATAAATCTGCCTTAGTCTTCTCTGCATGTGAAAATACTGAACCATTTTGGTTAGTGGCCTGCTTAAAATGATGTATATGCTGAAATGTTTTGCTGCGTTAATGGCCTGTCATGTTGGTGCTGTGGCTACCTTTGGTTGGAGAGTTACTGTGCTGGGTCACTTAGAGTCATGTGGGAGACAGATTTTGAAGTAAAGATCATTAGGCTCTAGGCATCAATGAAACTACATTCTGTCTTGTCTTCAAAGTTAAGGGAAGCCTTTTCTGATTGCCAGCATAGAGCTTTCCAAAATCGGTCAAGCTAAAGAGATAACCTTTTCAATGCTTGATGAAATACAACGTGCTAGCAATCCACACAGACTACTTGGAGTATTTAGTTTTTTTTTACTTGCAAGTGGATGAGTCTGGAGAAGTCCTAATTTGCTGCCTGCTGGTTAATTTATCTCATTCTTTGCATTTCTGTTTTATTTACTTCTACCGCTCCGTCAGCTGGCTAGAATTGCCGACAGCAAAGATCATGTCTTTCCAGTGAATGATGGTTTTGAAGCCCTTCAGGGGATCATAGACTCTGTAAGTATTTTTAATCATGTGTTTGCATGCGTGCATGTTGGTTTGTGTTACCTTGCACAGCTGAAGGTTTAATTTTCCAGTGTGCACACAGACCTGCTGACTGCAAGTAAATCAGTTAAAACATTTGGTCCAAAGAAACTGACCTTTGCTCATTCTAATACTGCTACTTTAAGGTAGAGTTTATCAATACAGAAGCACAGAAAGCTTTGAGCCCAAATATTATCTTTGCATCTCTCCCTCCTTGATAGGAATTAACTTACTGAATGGACTAGGCACCTGGTGATAGTTTATAAAGTGGCTGCCACAGACTGGGACAGCAGAGGTGTGTTAGAGCACATTCCATATGAAGGTTTAGGGGGCTCTTTGATCTCCGTCTTTCTGCTTAATTAGCATATTTTCTGTCCCATGGTGCACTGCTCACCTCCTGAGAACTGGGGAAAGGGATCCTGCTGTGTATGCCAAAACCCCCAAAACTTTGCTTCCTCCAGCTGGCCTCCTGCCAAATGGGCTATTTTCTTCTCCTCCGCAGACCTAGGTTTCCAGACTCAGATTGATCAGTTCCTGGCATTTCCTTTAGGGCTCAGGTGCAGCGTATCAGCACTGGCCCGCTCCTGTGCGGCTGGGCTAAGGGCCAGCAGTTCAGCTGGCAGAGGAGGACTATGAATTGATTCCTTTCCCATGGCTTGCCTTCAAGCCATGCAAATGGTTCCGTGGTCTTTACTGGCAAATAACAATACCTGATGAGACATCCCTATTTCTAGCTCTAAAACTTTGAGCAGCCTAATACTGTCTCACCTAGGAGCAGCACTTTCCTTGACTGAGCAGGAAAGGCAATATATGGGACAGTGTGTGTGCCATTTTCCTTGCAAGTAAATGTAAAATGTGCCCGACGTTGATGAGGAAGCAATATGTTTTCAGGTAGCTTTCAGTATTTTTCTTAGTTGTACCCCATAACTGTTCTAATTAGGCAGCTTCCCCTGAGAAATCCGTTTAAGGATATGTGTTTTGTTCATTTTGGTATAGGCTTTTTAGCTGATAAAACACAGATTAAATATACAACGGGAAGCTAGGGAGGGGTAGGTTCACCAGGGGGGTCTCAGATTTCTGTGTTTACAGTGGTACACACTCTTCTGGCCATATTGCACCAAGCAAAACCGTTCCTTCAGCACAGGCTCAATTTTCCCTTGTGCTCTCGCATGTAGTTGGAATACAATCCCCTGCTTATTGGTTTTCCTGGCACTGTCCAAGTGTGGGGCTACTGCCTCAATTCTCTTGGATGATCAGGTGTTGCATGTCATTTAAGAAAGCAACAACACAACAGAAATAAAACCCTAGTTTGCTTCCCAGATCTGCATTCCCTTCGCAGCTGTTTTTAATGAATTCCAGCAGCAGTTGTGACTCCCTTTCCAGTTATACTGAGTGGAATGGCAAGACCTCAGCCTTCAGGAACCTAGTCAAGAACTGCTTCAGATGGCTGGTGCGAAATTTGCCACCCCTGGAGAGAAGAGTCACAAGGCAGCGTCATCGTACAGTGATGAATCTGTGACCTGCTCACTTGCATTTGGGAGGAGTGATTGCAGTAGGTTGGGCAGAAGGGAGTTGTGTAAAAAGAATGGCAAGAAAGACATTAATCACTCTGTAGAGTAACAAAGAATCTGTAGACTCCTGTTTCTGCAGGAAAACAACCTCCCTCATTCTTTCTTTTCTTGTCCTTGCAAAGCACCTCTGTCTTGGGGCAAACAAACAAAGCCTTTGTGTTCACGGGAAAGCATTTTAACTTTGGAAGAGCCACGAGGTTCAATTCCTGTGTCAGAGTTGGTAGAGCAAGGCTGCTCAGCCATGCGTACGTAGAGGGGCTGGTTAGGCTGCTTGTTGATAAGGAAAGATAAAATGATGAGTCTGGGGGAAATTAGTGTTTGAAATCCCTCTAGAGATGTGAAGACCTGGTCTTCAGTGATTTGCTGTGAACTGCCCTGTATTCTTACTGAGGCAGCTTGAAGAGTAGACCTTTTAGGACCCCTCGTGTGTGCAGAGGCAGTGGACTTCAGAGTCCCCCTGGAATCAAGAGGAGGCTGGGAGCTTGAGGGTGGTTTCTGCTGGGTCCCTACATCTGCTGAGCAAAGGTGTTCAGGGTGATGGGTCTGCAGATGCCTCGGTTCACCTGCCCTTCCTTTCCTGTGGGAGCCAGGTAGTTTGAAGTTAGCAGCTGCAGGAGATGTGCTCAGCGCTTTCAGAGGAGGACTGCCACTGAGCACCACCGAGCTATTCAGGCTGTGTGCTGGAGCCTGGGCTTAAATGAGCTGCAAATGTGGTCCCAGGCTGAAGTCACTTAACAACATGACTTCTAGCGGGAGCTGAAGGTGTTCAGTGCACCGTAGGTTTTGGTCCTTTCTCTCCTGTGAGTTCCAGTGTGGTTTTTTTAATAAGCAAACCAATTGCTTTTTCTCTCCCTCATCGTGAAAAACTTCAGCTTTTCTCATGTTTAATGAGGATTCAGAGTTCTTTAGGAGGGAGGTATCTGGCAGAGAAACAGACATCTGACTGCTCTAAGCCAGGAAACAGACGGGAGGAACTGAAGTAATTCATTAAATTTTTCTTTGCTGTGAAAAATTTCTGTAGATCATAACAACTGATCTACAAAAATGGAGAAAGTCTCAGAAGGAGGAAAAACCTGAAACTCACCTTCATCTACTGCTCAGTATGTCTTTGGTAGCAGTTCTGGAGGCAATGGATCGCGAAACAATGTGGAAGTCAGGATAGGACCCTGTCGTTACTCTGCTTTGAGCCCTTGACAGAAACTGACTGAAAGAGAAGTTGCTTGGAACAAGAACCCTCCCTGCCCCTCGCTCTGTGTTGAACAGCGGCACTAACTTGGAGCTTATCTCAAATATCCTTAGACAGGATTCTCCGAGTGAGCTGCAGGAAGCCTCATGAAGCAGCTGTCTAAGAAATCAAGTGGTCCCAACTGCCTTCCGGGGCTGTCTCCTACCTGTATCACTTATGCCAATGATCTATCCTTTTAAGTTTCATCTCCTGGGTGTTCCTTTTGGATAGTCTTGCAATGATGTCCACCTACCCTCAGCGTTCTTCACGCCTTGCCTCTGCTCTTAGAATCGATATGGCAGTTCAGTGCACTCCTTTCTGCCAAGAAATTTTAGGCTTTCTACACAGGCCAAAGAGAAATTCAACAGCTCAAGCCTCTTGGTTTGGGTGACCAGTTTCTGCATCTGAAGTTGAGGGTGTGAACCCCCCGTCTCAAGTGTGTCGTGTTTCTCTTTACTTTTAGTGGGATTATGAGCACGCTTTCTGGTTCTTTCTTCTCCCAAATGCATCCTTAAAAAGACTGAGATTTATTTTGCTTAGCTCATGCAGATATTATTGGCCAGAAAACACTTCATAAATAAATTCCTGTTTTGTAATTGGCAATAGACTCAGTTATTTAGCAATTCCACAGAGCTTGATAATGAGTAGCTACCCTCAGACTGTGGGTCATTCGCACCAGCACCGATTAGGCAGTAACCCTCTATTAAACTTCAGTATCCTGTTTGCTAATTAGAATTCCCAAATTTGGTGAAAAAAACCCCAACACTATAAGAAATATGCAGCTGCTGTGGTGAGGTAATCTGTCTGCATGCTTGTGGACCAGAAAATGAAACAAAAGCTTCCAGCAGCTGCAGAATTTCACTCCTGCTCTTCCTTTTGGTGACCTGCAGAGCCTCTCCTGGCTCTTGGCCAGAAAGCTAAATTCATCCCAGGTAGTGCTCAATTCAGTTCTGTCCTGGTAGGGATAAGTGTGACAAACAAAGCCACACTTCTACACAGACGTGTTGCATTTGGCATGTCAACAAACATTAACAGGAGATCCTCCCAGGAGCCCCTGCGAAGCTGGAGCATAGCTGGAGCCCCATAACGTACGACAAGAGACTAGTTTGGGAATCTGAGCTTGGTCATTAAACATGTGCTGTGAAGACAATGGGATGCTTCCTCATCAAGAGTGAGCACATGCCTCGAATTCTTTTCTTTGCAGAGGACGGTAGATCTGATGAAATCTGCGATGAATATGTCAAAGTCTTTTCTGAATTTGTTGTTGTGATGAGGAAGAGACTTAAAGGAATTCTTTTATGAGAGTTACTGCTGCCTGATTCTCACTTTAAGTTAGGGTGGGTATTTGGAGCATTGGAAACTTATTATTATTCTAAATCAAAATAAATATTGCAGTTGGCACTGTAAAAAGCCATTACAGCCAGTTTTTTATGGCCACGTAAATGGATTGGATTGGACTGGGAGCTGTGCATCATCTAATTGAGACACCTGCTATTCCACCCTCCATCCAAGTTGGCTTGTAGCATGACTGTTTGCAAATGACTGAATAGAAATAATACATTTCAAACCTAAGCAGAGAAGCAGAAGCTGGAGTGAGTACGGAATGGGTAGTGGACTGGCAGGAGATGGCTGGATGGGTGGCTACCGCTGGCTGCTTTGGAAGAGTGTTCTTAGAGCCCTCTATTTTTTGCATGTTTTCTTTATTCTACCTTTCAGATTCTTCCAGTGCTTTTCTGTTTGGTTCTCAACTGTTGACTTTCTCTTTTTTTTCCACATGACAGTTCCTGTATAATCTCGTTCCTGCAAATCTTTCTCCTCACTTGTCAGGCTGCCAGCAGCTCAGACGGCCCTGGTTCCTTCAGTCCTTTGGTATTCTTTCAGTCTCTACCAGCCCTGCTTCTGAGTAACTAACTTTTCTTTAAAAGTTTTAAAAAACAAATCATGGCTCTATCTGTACCTTTTGCAATTAGGTATTTGAGGCAGAGAGCCATGGTTGTGGAGAAAAAACAGATTACATTTTTTGCACAGAATTTATTGTATTGGTTGCTGTTCTTTCCTTACAGATGTTTCAGTTTAAAGTTGGGAAAATAATTTTCATGTTGGATTTGAGTCATGATGCTTGGCTGACATTTACTTGCCTCTTGGAGCTGACCTAAATTTGATCAGTACTACCTCGTGCTGAACACCCGCAGCTCTCCGCCGCTGCTGCTCTTCTCACAGGGGCGTATGGACACTGTCACATGTTTCCTGACTCTGTGCAGTGAAGAATTTGAGTTGGTCTTCAGAGAGGAGGGGAGTCTTGAGCAATTTTAGCCCTGTACGGGAGTCAATGGTATCCAGCTCCAGCGTGCTCCCTGTGCCTCGCAAGGAGTCTGCCAAGCCCGACACTGAAGTATTTGTGTAAATCACTGGCTGCACGTAAAGTGGTTAAAGCCACTCTTACAAAGACATACTGCTTGATTTAAGTTTGATTTAAGGAAAGAACAACCGTCCACACAACTTGATTTGCAACTCTGAGGATGCACTCAGGTGTGCTCCCATCGACCAGATTGAAAACTGCAGAAGTTTGAACCCCAGGCTGAGCCTTGAGAAGTGTCTGTGTAGATGTTAATGCAAAGGTAAACAGCTTAGCTCAAACTTGTGATGCTTTATTTGGAGTTTTAGGCTCCAGAATAATTTTGGAGAGGGAGGTGTTGCCTCGCTGACCCTTCAGAGTGCACCTTAGCTGTTACGGATCGTAGGCTGCATAATAACCCGCTCTCGCGCTTTCAGATTTGTGTTTCTATAGAAACAAATCTGAGATACTTCATGACTTTTTTTTGTTCATCTTGTAGATTTTGAAGAAATCCTGTATAGAAATTCTGGCAGCAGAGCCTTCCAGTATATGTGCAGGAGGTAAGTATAAATTGAGGCTCCAGTTATGTTGCCTAAAATACATCTTTCTGCCTAATTGCTGGAGATTGCAAATGGAACTAATTAACTGGAGCTATATCTTTTGCTTTTTTGGTGACTTTCTTTTCCATCTTACAGTAGCTTGCACGTTTCCCATTTCTGCCTAATGATGTCAAATGGGATTTTCTTACAGAAAAGTCTTGAGTTTGACAGTTTTGACTAACTTGTTTTTCAGTCAGACCAGTCTGTCTTACTCGCCCTGTGCTAAACTTGAAGTAGATATGCTGCAAAATTACAAACCAAATCAGAAAATAAGACCTTGATTAGGTTTAGAGTTCAGCAAATTCATCATCTCAGAGGACTGTTGAGGGAAGTGCTTCTTAAGAAACGAGCAACAAGGTCAAAGGCGCACACTTTGATCTAAATCTTCTAATATTCTTTGCACATTTCTTAGGCATTTAGGGTGGATACGGTGCCTGGGGACTGGGATTTAAACATCGCTCTGCTGACTCGTGTGAATTGTGCTGCCCTCTCCTTGTGTGCTTGTTCTAATATGACTGTGCTATGCCCACTGTGGCTTTCAAGTCTTGACAAGCTTTTCTGCATTCAGCAGAACCAGGCTTTTTCGAAGAAAGCTTGAGAACCATTTTAGCCTTTTCCATCTGCTTCCTGTGAATTCTTCACTTCATACAAAGTATATCTAAAACTGTTCGTTGAATGTGTAGAAACTCGTTAAGTAGAGAAGCTGGGAGCAGAGCTGATGTTTGTAGCGAAGGATGAGTCCCTGGCATGTTCAGCAGCTTTTCCTAAATGTGTAGTCCAAATCATGACTACTTTGTTTTCATGTCCAAAACAGCTGCTTTAATCATCCTTAGTGCATCTCCTGTTCCTGGAGCACCTGCCTGCGTACCTAAACATCTGTAGGTGGTTGTATTTTCCTAGCAGATGCAAGACAACGGGCTAAATGCCCAATAAGTACCAGGCATCGGTTTTGCATTCCTTGCATGCCGCTACAGTAGTTTTGGTTTTGAAGCCAGGATAGCATAACTGCCGTGAATTGTAGTCCTTAGTCATCTCTTTCTCGTTTTGGCTGGCCATTTAAATAGTTCCTTTGTTAAAAAAGGAACAGGACTCTGTCTACCTTAGCATGGTAAATGATGGTTGTCGGGACAAGGTCTGATATGCTGCAGACACGCTCCGTAAGTGCTTGGGAAAGGGAATGGAATTGTATGAACCTTCAGACCCACTTTACACACTTGAAGACTGTGGGATTTTTCAAAATACATTGAAATACTTATATAAATGATAATCAATGATGCTTATATAATGTCATAAGCCAGAAGATGACTTATAACCACTGTTTATAACCTTCTTGAACACTTTCTAACATGCTTGTCAGCTGTTTGTGTGTCTTATCACCCCCATTCACTGTGGCTTAATGCGAATGTAGGGGTAGTGTACAGCTGTACCCAGCAGAGCCAGCTGAGAGGAGGTGTAGAGGGGTTTTATATAAACCATTCGCACTGGAATTTGGCCAGTACTTCACAAGAGGAGCAATGTTAACCTGAAAAAATGCCAACATTTATTTAGATGTTCAATTCAAGACCTCATCTCCCAAGTTTGGGCAAATAATCCATTGCTCTCAAACTGCAGCTAATTTGATCATTTAGGACTCTGAGACTAATGAAAGTGCTATTGAATATGAAAGTTATGTGCACTAGTGTCTTTTTAAAATAAAGTTTTGCAGTTTTAGCTCTGGTACCTCCTATTTTCTTTCTGCGCACACTCTTGAAGCGTGGTGGCAGTTTGGGTCGGGTTTTTTTGGAAGGAGACAGCATGAGGGCTCTGTGCTACCTGAGGCCACGCTTGTGCTGCAACCTGGTCCCAGGCACTTGAGTAATGAATTTCAGCACCAACCCATCATTTGGAAATGCCACTTTCTTGGTGATTTGCATCAGTACAGACGTGCAGGGTCCATCCTGTATCTCAGGCAGCGACAGGATCCCTGTGGTTCATCTGACATCATTGATAGGCTGTTCCTTGACTGTACTTGAACTTTCATTCCCCAGCAGTTGAGACTTCTGTGATTTCTCTTAAGTATCCATCAGCCCCTGCACTCCAGAGCAGAGCCCTTCTCCCCTGTTCTTCCCAAATGCTCTTGGACACCTCATAATGGGCCTGCGAGGCAGCTCCCCTGGCTGGATGTGGTGGGATGATTTGTAACTTGGCTGTAAATGAGCGGGACCTGGAAGAGAGCCCAGATTCCAGAGCAAATCTGCTTTTTTTGACGAGTACAGTGTGCGAGTCCTTAAGGGAGATGAAAAAAGATGGGGACTGTAAAGTGCAAGGCAAAAACTTTGAATCTGCAAAAACTAGGTTCATTGTTGTTCCTGAGACTTTTAAAACCAGGGTGGTGTTTCTGATGCGCTGTGATTACTCCTCCATTGTCTTGGACAGTGAAACATGTTGTGTTCAAACCGTATTCACCAGAGAAACATCCGTGGGGATTCTGTGAGTGCCTCTCCTAGATAGTAACAGGAATTGTGGGGGCTGTTTCCTTCGCCATGGGGAATCTGCAAAGTTTGAGTCCCTGTGTCTCCTGCCAGAATTTTTCTGGGACTATGGCCCTGTTTGCAAATCCGAGAGGCTCAAAGCCGTGCTTTCCCTGCAAGGCAGACTTAATGCTGGCAGCTGCAGGGGGTTTGTAAAGCTTTCCCAGTGCTGGGTTCGAGTAGTCGGAATAACGGGATGGCAGAGAGGGGTCTGAAAGGCTTGGGAGGAGATGATGTCGTTGCTCAGCCCTGCTTGTTCAAAAGAGGAGGGCTCGGTTCGGCGCTCAGCTGCTGGTGACTGTCCTTGACGCTTTCTGCTTGCGCTGACCTTGTAGAGTTGATCTGGAAGAACAGCAGAGAGGAAGACTTGGAGAAATGCCCACAGACTCCAAGATCAGAGCCTTGGCCCGGGGACTAGAGGGCTGCTCTGTTGATGAATCCCCTCAGAGCGTATGGAAATGGGGCCGGCCAGGGGCTCACGCTCGTTGTACAGGCTCAGCAGGGCAGGATGGGACAGAAGTCATGGCAACGGGTGCAGTTCTGCACTTACCTGTGAAAGTAGCACTGGAACTTCTCTAACTTATCTATCACTGCAAGATTTTTTTCTTCCCATGGAAAGATACTTTTGCCCTTCTTCACCCCAAATTTTTCTGTTTGAAATGGCAGCCTGGGGAGGGGAAAGCTCGGTGTCTCTGAACCGTCATGTTTTCACTGTAAGTCAGTAAAATGTTTCTGTTTGTGTATTATTTCCTGTTTCTAAAAACTCCAGATTGGGTAGGGAGAGAGTGGAAGTCCAATTTTTAACATTTTTGGAACTTAAAAATGGTTAAAATGCTCAAGAGATCTCAAACAAAAACTTCTGATATATGTGTTCTTTGCTGCGCTTTCTATCAATAATCTACTGTCTTTTTTGCTACAGAGTCATTTCAGGTTGTCGTGAGAGGAAATGGATTTCGACATGCCCGTAACGTTGACAGAGTGCTCTGCAGTTTCAGGATCAATGACACCGTTACTCTCAGTAAGCTGTTCTGATTTTTTAAAAAAAATTTTATTTTTTCTGACTCTGCACTGGCAGGTGCTTGCAAAACATTTTGGCTTTTCAAATCGGTTGACTGGGAATGTAACAATTATGAGATGAGTAGCTATTAAATTTGCAGAAGGCAGCAGAGATTTTTGTTTTTAAGAAGAAAATTGGTGGTGGTTTTATATACTGTGACTCTGACAGCAAGCTTGAGCAGTGGAGGGGACAAAATATAGAAGAAACTTGTCTGTAAAGAGTATCTAGATGTGTTTTGCTGGGTTAAGTATGTGGCGAGACCGGATCTGTTTCTCTCCTTACCTATATTTTGTGGTCCTTAGCAGCTTAAATAAACACTGTTGTTGGGAGCTGTGCTGGAGCAGGGGCTGAGGCATTGCTGTGCTTCTGTGGATGCAGCTTGGAAAGATGTTTCCTCCACAGATTTCACCAGGCAGAAGAACCAAAAGAAGAGAAGCAGATGAGACCCTGAGCACCTGGTCTTTTTATGAAGCGTACCGAGTTTTTTAGCTGGAAGAACTAATGGTCCTGTTCTCCTCTGTCATGCCGGCAAACCCACAGAGGAAACCAGAAAGCATAACTCATAGCTAATACCACCAGTGCGAGTGACAGTAAAATTCACCTGTTCTAACACGGATTCTATTCTGAAGCTTCCTGATTGTTCTGGAGGATGCTGGGCTTGCTCATGCTCTGAGCATCTGCATAATTGGGTCTTTGGAGCCGGGGAACAGTTTGTTAAGGCTGTGTGCCCTGTGAGGAATGCCCCTGAGCGTTCAGGCAGGTACGTTTGTAGTAATTTGGCCTGAAAGGCTTCTGTAGTGTTGTGCTGGCCCCCTCTGTAGTAGGCAGGTTCTGGAATTGCCAGCCTCTGTGTCACGAAGTGGAAAGCTTGGCTGGCTGTCGTTCCTGTTTGTTTAATTCAGATGTGGTGGGTGCTGAGGACACAAGGAGCAAAATCTGGAGGGCTGAATGCCCAGGGAGGAGCAGAGGCACTGGAGGTGAGGAATAGGGAAGGAGAGGGATCTGAGTAAAAGCACTGAGCTGCTGGGGAATATGGTGAATTAACTGCTTTGGAGGCTTTGCCATGCAGCCTGGAAATAAGTGCTGGAGATGTAAGAACAAAAAAGAACAGCAGAGGCAGCCACAGATACATGCTTTTCCTTTTAAGCTCCATAAAACCAGACCCAAACCCGACATGTGGCCAGAACTCCTTCAGTCTGGATCACGGCTGCATTTAGATGTTGAAGCATGTTTGGTTTTCTCCCCAGAGTTCAGATCCAAAGGTTATTCTGGATCATAGGTGTTATAAAGCCTCCTGTAGTCTTCTAGAGCTGGGCATGAAGCCTTCCCTTCTCTCTCCACCTGGAAGGTTCCAGTGGAAATGGAATTGCTGTTCAAATATTTAGAAGTTTTGTTTTCTTCAAAAGTCTAAAGCCGTGTGGTGCAAACCCAAAAGTCTTTGGTTTTGGTTGCTGGAAGCTGACAGTTTGTAGCATTCTTAGTTTGCATGTCTGCTGTCTTTTTTCAATTAAAACATGAACAGCCCATAGGAACACGTAATCTGGATGAAAACTTTCCTCCCTGAGAGCTGCCTCCGCTACCTGAGGCCCCGCTGCTCTGACCTGCCATTGCATCACCACTGCCTCTCAGCTCAGCTTCCGCAGAGCTGGCTGGCTCTGGAGCAAGACATTCAGCCCTGGAAGCATCGTAAATCCTTGGCAGAACTAAGAATGTCATCCATCAGCTTCCTACTATTCAGTGTGTCCTGTCTGAGGAGACACGAAAACATCCAGTGTTGCCAACGGGAGGAACTGTGTGCGAGGGTTACCTCACCCAAACACTGTGACCTGGTGTTGGTGGGGGTGAGGAGAAGGAGTCCTTCCTCTCTTTTTTGTGTGCTGACTGCGTGTCGAGCTGAGTAATTTATTAGGATGTCTGTCATCGTAATGTCGCAGTAGCTTTCAGGAGAGATCAGCTTATTTTAGAGAGACCCAGGGGCCTTTTTTTTTGTTTGAAGCTGTCCACAAAACGACTGTGGAAAATGAGGATAAGGGCCAAATACATTCCCCGCCTCCTGACTCGAGGCGTTCACGGTGTCCCGAGTCGATGCATAGGTGAAAAGTGAGCTCATTCTCCTTGGCTCTGCACCAAGACTCCTCACTTCGTTTTGCACAGCCCTAGATTGTTTCATGCAGTGACCTGGAAGCAAGAGGCCACAGACTCCCTCTCTGAGTTCAGCCCGTTCCCTGATTGAGGGAACTCTGCAGCTGCTCATCACTGTTCTCAAGCCCAGGTCTCTCCAGGTGGGAACCGGCACAGCTCTGCTAGCTTGAAGTTGCTCTGTGGGAGCAGGTATCTCAATGTCTGGCTTCACTGGAGCCTGCATTTCCAGCCCGTGTTCTCAGTGTGCCGTGGTGGCACTTGGCTGCAAACAGCTTAGCACGAGAGCGAACCGAATGAGAATTTTATGGAAACCTTATGGAGATTGGAGAGCTCAGCTGTTGGGGTTTTTTGTTTGCTTGAAACCTCTCAGCCTCTGATTGTGTCAGGGAGAGGGGTATTTTTAAAGATAACACTAAGCCAACAGTTCCTGAAACATCAAATTATCCCAGATGAGGTATAGACCAGCACAGCTAGGACTTGCTGAGGTTAAGAGCATGAGCTAATAGATTTTTATTGGGATTATTGGCAGAGAAAAGTGGCAGGTGAAGAGAGCATCGGCTCATAATGTTCATAGCTATGGGATAAAAAAAAGAGGAACATCTGTGAAAACCATGAAGAATATTTGGCTGAGCAGAATTGTAATCAGATGCGCATTCAACAGCTGGGTTTCTTCTGCCAGCAGCAGGACCTAGGAGAATTGATTTCAGACTGCACAGAGTTAAAAGTAATTATCTGGTGCAGTGACTTATGACTCCTTTGTGGTGCTAAAAGGTCTTTGTCTGCCCAGATTGTGCAGGAACCAGCAAAGACAGTTTTGGGCACAGAGGCCAGCCCTGTCCTTGGCAATTTAAAACTCAACAGAGGGATGAAAGGTTGGTGAGGAAACAGCTGCAGCACAGCAGAGGTGGGGCTGCAACTTCTGCATTCTAGTGAATGCTCTGGACTCGTGGCCAAAACTGATCCTTTGCACAAAGTAGTCTGATTTTTTTAGGTTTTTTTTCAGCACAAGCACTAGAAGCAAAGGAAAATGAGGAAAAGACAGTGGGAGCAGGACTTTGCCAGTTACCAGGGCAGAGTGAACTGTATGGGGAACTGTATCCCTAAACTGCCCAACAAAGGCCTTATAAAAACTGTCATTTGTTTTTAAAGACTAGCTGGTTGCCCCGTCTTCCCCATCTTTCCCTTTTCCTGGCAGCACAGTCCTTTTCTTGTGAGATCTTCAGTTTCTCGAACTCTTAGCATAGGAATGTTTTGCTTTGCATTTCCACTCTCCGATTCCCCTACTTGATCCTGTCACTTTAACCCTCCGCTGAATCTTTTCCGTCTGTTTTCTTATAGTAGCTTTTCCCTCTTTCTACTGTGGTACTAGAGAACGTCCACCAACTCCATCAGATATTTTTGTGTGTCTGATCTTTATGAAGGACATAACCTCTGCCTCTGTTTTTTCCTGGGTGAGAGCATACACCAAAGTGAACTCGGCATCCTATTTTGAAGGGCAGCCTGAGTCATTCCTTGACAAAGAACATGAAGAGCTCTGGGAGATTGTGGATACTCCATCCCTGGAAGTGTCCAAGGCCAGGCTGGATGGAGCCTTGAGCAGCCTGACCTAGTGGGAGATGTCTCTGCCATGGCAGGGGCGTTGGAACGAGATGATCTTTGAGGTCCCTTCCAACCCAAACCGTTCTATGATTCTATGAAAACAGGAGAAACAGTCACTCTTCCCTCAAACACTCTCCTTGCCTTCAACAAATTGCAGTGTAGGACCTTTTAGAGCAGGATTCCTACGGGTTTACTCGACAGTAGACTTTGCAGCTGCCCAGGCTGAGTGTGGAGGAACACCACAGAGCAGCCAGGAAGCTTGTGCTGAGTGAGGAGGATTCTGTCTGCGCTGCGGGGTGCTTCGCTGAGCTCACTTATT